TGACGTAGTTCCAATTTAAATTTTTAAAATTACTGTAGATTGAAAGTGCTATCGCGGCGGGGTACAAATAATCTTAATTTTGCTCGGGCTCCGTCAAATATAACATCATCTGTTGTAATTTTCTCCTTTCAATCTTCTCTTCTAAAACAGATATCGATGACTGTGCAAGTCATCCCTGTAAGAACAACGGGACCTGCACAGACCGAGTGAACGGATTCAACTGCAGCTGCGCACCAGGCTTTAATGGAAAACAATGTGAAACAAGTAAGTACAGTTGAACCTCCCGTAAGGGACCACCCAGAATGTCAAGTCTAGGTGGTCGCTTACGGGAGGTGGTCGCTTAAGAGAGCTTAGAACATATTCACTCAAAATTTAGCCTCATTAGCATATGGTAACTGCAGAGACTTAACCCATGTTTTAAACGTCTTATTGCTGTGATTTTGATTTGAAAAAAATCTGGTACTTCCCGCAGCATTTCTCGATACTACCCAGGACTGCGATAATGTTACACCTTATTATTAGTTTTCGCCCTATTATATCTCAAGTGGTCGCTTACGGGACGTTGAAAAGAAAAGAAAATTTTAAACTTTTACCTCTAAAAGTGGTCGCGGTCGCTTACGAGAGGTGGTCGCTTGTATGAGGTTCCAAATATAGTGATTTGACTGGGAAACTTTTGGTGTTTCGGAAAACAGGTCCCTAAGGAGAAAAGGTCGCTTAGGAGAGGGGGTCGCAACTGGAGGTTCGACTGTATTAGTATTTCGAGTTAATACGACTGCAATGCGTTCAGTTTATTAACAGCCAATTCTATTTGACCTCTTAACATAACACGCCCCAGAAAAAGGGGTATGAATAGATATAGTCAGAAAAAGAACACAAAGCGTTCAAAAAAAACAAAAAAAGAAGAGAAATTTGACATTTGAGAATGCGTTCGCAATATAGAAACTTGAAGTTGTTCCTGTTTATATTCCGGGCTCCGTCTAATATAACATCATCTTTTGTCTTCAAATAACACGTTCCAGAAAATAAGGGTCTGAATAGATATATTCAGACAAAAAAAACACAAAACATTAAAAGGAAAAACGAAAAATTTAGCAATTGAGAATTACTTCGCGGTATACAAACTTGTTGTTGTTCCTGTTTATATTGTGGGCTCCGTCAAATATAACATCATCTGTTGTATTTTTTTCTCTTTCAATCTTCCCTTCTAACACAGATATCGATGACTGTAAGGGTCATCCCTGTAAGAACAACGGAACCTGCACAGACCGAGTGAACGGATTCAACTGCAGCTGCGCACCAGGCTTTAATGGAACACAATGCGAAACAAGTAAGTATTAGTATTTCGAGTTTTAATAGCACTGCAATGCGTTAACGTTCAGTTTGTTAACAGCCAATCCTTTTTGACCTCTTAAAATAACACGTTCCAGAAAAAAAAGGGTCTGGATAGAAAAAAAAAAAACATTAAACCGGAAAAAACGAAAAATTTAACAATTGAGAATTACTTTGCGGTATACAAACTTGTTGTTGTTCCTGTTTACATTGCGGGCTCCATCAAATATAACATCATCTGTTGTAGTTTTTTCTCTTTTAAGGCTGGTTTCCATATGATCGCAGACGATCGCAGACGATCGCGGATCGCAAA